AGTAATTCATATTTGTTGATATTATGACTAAAACACGATGGGTTGTTTATATGACATTGACTGTAAATCCCGGGTTCATCTTGAGGTCGAATCAATACAGAAGAACATATACACGGTTAATAGTAAAACACTAAACCCTCGCATAACATAATGTAACATAACAGTATGTAAAAGTGTTTCCTGAAAATTTTATTAAAATTTTAGTCGTAACGGTGCTCGTTATAAATTAATTTTTAAAATAAATCAATATAAATCGACCAAATGACCGACCCTTGACCACAATCATTTTCGTGCGTTCTTTTCGTACGTGATCCACTATTTTTGTGTACCCAGTTTTTTTAAAGACGCCAAAACTATTTTGTGGTCAATTCTCACTTCTTCAGCTACATCTACTACTGATATGCCGATCTTGCTCCACTTTTTTAGAAACGGCATCCATTTTATCCGTAACAGGGCGACCGGACTGAAAACGCTTAAACTGCATTAGGTCCAGAAACGTTTTCTCGCGGTTGCGTTCCATTTTTACCTTTTTTATATTAGCATTTTTAAATGTATCGAATTTCTTCATTAGATTCACTCATTTTGACAGAAACAGTAACAATTGAAAAAAACACATTTTCCTAATTTCAATTCAGAATTATCTTCTTTAAAATTCAAACTTTTTAACAATAGCGAAACCAGCCACATACAAATCTTATAGCCAGAAAGATTTTATTACAAGTTTATTAGCATACAATATGCGAAAATACTTTTTCCTCAAACTAATATGGAAGAATAATGTATGAATTAATAATAATGTTGGTAGATAACCTAACACAAGATTGTTCTCTACCATTTTCCTTGCATATTCTAAAATATTCTAGATTTCTGCCTGCAGGATCACACGCGTAATTTATGACTTGATATGCATTTATGGCTGTGGAACCGTTTAATGGGTAAAACGTAGTGTTTAAGTTAATTTAGACTTACAATTATTTATTACCGAATTGCATCAAAATCCATACAGTAGTATTTGTGTGAAAAAATAACAAACATAATATATGTACATACATTATGTTTGTTATTTTTTAGAATGTACATCCAACCTCACAAACTGACGCATTTATAATATTAGTGTTCCGACTTGAGTCTAAACGGTTGGCCTCAGATTAGTTACGTAGGCAGGTCATTTGCTTTAAATACAAAGTTTATTGGACAAATTTGACCATTTGTAGGAACTAGCAGGTCTACCGTGTATTGCATTGGTTTCGATTCGATTAGCATTGGATTGATTCATTTGAGTGTAGTGGATCATAATATTTAATATATTCCCTGGTCGCCCCCGTTATTCTTTATAATCCGGTAACATTATAACTCAATTCCATATAAAAAACGCGCACACTTTATCTAATAATACAGTATTTAAAGTTGAGTGTATTTTGAATAAATAAAATGCTAACCATATCAGAGTCAATGTAACTTGGTGATCTGTTTATCTGTTTTTTATATACTTTCATTATTTCTGAATAAGTCAGACTATTTAAATTAAGATCTTTAGGTACAATATAAGACTTTATATAATGTCTATATGTATATTTTCGATACCATATAATGTGTGAACTGACCCATCACCAACTATTAAGATAATTTACTATCGCAAGTGTAAAATTGCATATTATTATTAATTAATTGATAACAGTTAATAATAATTTTGATGTATATTATCAATAATGCCAACTTGCTAATGGCATTGTTAATAAATTGAAGAGCAAATGAATATACCGAGTGAATTTCAATCAAATTTTTGTTCCGCAGTTAAATTAGAAGCGATTTATGGTTAACATACTTGTCATAATGAAGCTGCAAAATAAAATCTCATACAAGTACCTACATAAAATATTAAAGAAGTTTTTTATTTTTTAGAAAAATTATACATATTTATATTTCATGTACAATCTTCTCTGTAAATTCTTCCATTTTATACCTATAATATGAGAGTACATTATGAAATAAATAGGCCGCCATCTTATGCGGTCGACTATATTAGATTTAAACTATACATGTACTAACAGCGTAATCGGTTTTAAAATTTAGCGAACTTCATATATACGCTGGTGGTTAGATAAAAAACTGTTATGTTATGTTTCCTTTATATTTTGTCTGTTCATAAGAATTTATCTCAACTTCGATTCAACCGCTATCAGTCGATTTGCAATAAAAAACAATTTACAATTAAATTACTAAAAATTTCAAATGATATATTTTCTTTAATTACAATAGGTCGTATCGTGTGTGAAATGAATTGTGTCCTTTGCGAAATGGATAACTTTTCACATTTTAAAACGGTAGATTATTTAGGAGGTAATATTAAGATTTTTTTTACACTCACGTAAGAGATTAATTTCTTACAGATCTCATTTAACGATAAAAAACTTTGCTTTAGAAATAAAATAACATATTTTTACAAATATTGTATTTTACATTTTTCTCAATTTTTGTCGCAAAACACAGACAATTAAAAGCAACACTAAATACATATTTATTGTACACGCAGCACCACATCAAGTTATTATAAAGGGCAAAATTTCTGCAATCAAATTTAAACAACTAACGGGTTAAGGCTTTATATCGATTGGAGAGGCCCTCTGTAGTAACCTGACGTGCTGTCAACTGTACTTTAGACATAAACTTACTGCTTAAACATATTCGAATATGCCACAATTAAAGATTCTTGTAAACAATCATGTAACTTTCGTTAAAGTTTATTATTCATAAATCGCGAATTACTTCACATAATTTAACTAAACTAAACTTTGGTAGACAACAGTTTTAAATGACTATTAATTTGACGTAAATTTGGTGAGATTTTACTAACAAAATTTTCAATTTTGAATCAATTTACATTTTAATTACGTTATATTTTTACAAAAACAAACATCATTTAAGTCTAAAATGAATTATTTGTATAGACGAATGTTATTAAGGAACAACAAAACAATGACAACTGATGTTCTAGGAAAACATGTAAACATTTTTATCAGCTCTCAAGCGCTTCTTTTATTTGTATAAATAATAGAAAGAGGCACGAAATGTCAAAATTGTAAACATATTCTCATACAAGCACCTACATTCGAGATAACATTTAAATCAGAACTTGTGTTTAACAAGAAATAACAATACGACAACGACGAACGAATTCTAGGAAATCATGTAAATTTGACAAATTTTTAACAGCTATCAATCGATGGTTTCTCAAAATTGAATACATATTTTGATATAAACGCCCATATTCGAGATAACATTTAAAAAATCACTTCCACCATAAAGCTCAAGCCTTTTTTAGCTACAGTGATTTTTGGAAATTGAAAATGAATAGAATTTCTTTATTTTTGACGTTGTTTTACAACACCTTGCGAATATTTCAGTCGATATTTTTATATCAACCTAATACCATTTAATGAAATATTAAAATAACCTCTTGCGCAATACTTTCAACCGTACCTGAGCTAAAAAAAAATATGTATTTCATATAAAGTTTATAAAAAGCTCGAATTGCTTACTCATCTGTTCTACTACTTGAGAATTAAAGCACGACGCTCGTAATAATTTTAGAACCACTGACAAGACAAAGTATATAATATAAAATATACCTATAAGACCGCCATTTGTGTTTATCATTTTATAATAAATTAATTACAACTTCGTAACCTATGAGCATTTGTACTGGTAAGGTAATTTGGCATAGGTAATCCTCTATGATTTTTTTTACAAATATTCGTTTGTTATCGTCATTCAAAACTGTAGCAAATTAAATGAATTATCCTTTTATATTAATAATGATCATTTAAGTACATCGTATTACAGTATGTGATATTTTACATACATTTTTTTTACTGTTAATAAGAAAAATATCTTTTCTTTTACATTGCAAATAATATCTGCGAATATTATTGTGATAAAGAATAATATTACAGTTTCATTTTTGCTAAACCTTTAATGACAATGTGATACAATGTATACTGCAACAATTTGAAATATTATATTAGGATTCTTCCTAATAATAGAAGTTTGATCGCTTAGTAAAAAATATATATACTCACAAACGGATAATTTTCGATCGATTATACCATGACATAGCTGTATAGAACAAAAAAAAAACTGTTTTATCTTATTCTCCCACACAAATTGCTAACAAATTATTAGCTATACACAGAGATCTTGAATAATTGTAAATCAGACAACAATAATTAATGCCAAGTACCTATATTTGAAAAAATCCATCACTTTTATAATAAAGATCTACCTAGTACTTTTTAAGCGGCTCTTTATTTATAGAATTTCGTACTAACCTACCCTAACCATTAGAAATCGTGCACTAGAAATTACTTTTAAAAGAAAGGATCATAATGTCCATTTAATAATTTAAAGTGCGCATTTTCAATTTTTATGAGATTTTTTCAAATAAGATTCTAAGTTTAATAACATGCCCCGTACAAAAATACTCATTGGATATGTTTTCACACAAACCAACAGACAATTCATTATAAAGTTTACCTCACCGAAACCAGTCGATCAGATTTGAAAACTTTTCAAATATCTGCAATATCAAATTATTTCTATTAACATCAATTTAAAGTGCGCATTTACAATTTTTATGAGATTTTTTACATAAGATTCTAAGTTTAATAACATGTCCCATCCAAAAATATTTATTGGATATGTTTTTACACAAACAAACAGAAAATTCATTTTAAAGCTAACCTCACTGAAACCAGTCGATTAGATTTGAACACTTTTCAGATATCTGCAATATCAAATTCTTTCTATTAACATAAATTAATAACTATTAATTTATTTAAAACATATTAATCGTGATCATCTTCAAATGCAGGAACCTGGCATCAGCTAAGCACCATCCTTATATTAGAATCATTTGTAACGTTTGGCAGGCCCCATTCCACAGTACAACCTAGCAAGGCATTTCCTAACTAAAATCTATTATCACATTGGTTTCTGGTCAATCAAAGGCGCTTTTTTAGAAGGCTTTTGCAGAGACTGCACAAGCCGTAACACTCCTTACTACTAAATGAGGTTATTTTCAGTCCCCGGCGGCATATTTTAAATTTACTAGTAATGCATTTGTTATTGGTTTCCAATAGATAATGTTTTGCCGGATCCATGTATGCATCTTCTAAAAGATTTCTATCGCCGTGAATCAAAACTGCGTCATATTCATTTATAGGCAGAAAGCCTCTGTTATTTGTGAGAAAACAATTGCCGCATCCCTTAAACACTTCGGCGCCGTCTGCGTCACTAAATACCGGTGACTCCGGTAATCTTGCAAGCAGAAATATATACACAAACTTATTGCCGACCCTCAAGTCTTCCTTTATGAACATCATCTGCGTTTCCGGCGTCAGTGCGTAAGATATTAGCAAATAGACAGTCAAATAAGACAACACTATGAGAACAGTCTTTTGCAATTTTGACACTTGTCGCCAGCACATTGCGGGTGTGTGCTGGGCATTTTTTCGCGCGTGTACATCACAGTCGCGCGCTCGGTCGCGTCTGACAGGGATGGCGAGCGGTCGATACCCCGCGCCCTTCTGGCGTCAACAACAACCGCTTCTACAATCCACACCTTGTTTGCAGCACACAAAGCTCATTTTAATTTTTTTTTCAGACTTCCTTGATGACGTGTCACGTTGTGACGAGACATCGAGCTTATACATATTAATTACTATCGACTCAATTATCTTGTACTTAAGGTTTTGTTTTTATTGCTTATTTTTGCGATGTATAGATTCGGCTTCGGAATTTAAAAAAAAGTTTAATAGCTTAAGTTACCGGAATATTTATTTAAAAAGATTTGCTTTTGAGATCAGAATTTATTGCCGAAAGTTCCCCTGTGATGCACAAGTGTATTATACGATGTTTTTGTCAGTACATTTATCTTTATGAAACCATTTACTGGAAAAGTAGCCTTTATAGGTATATTATATTCAGGTATAGAACTATCCGTATACGAAAAAATATCTATACAGTAGTGTTTGCGTGAGACCTACATATCCATCCTCACAAACTCTTGTATTAAGTGACTAAGCATTCTAGAACCATGAACCACAGTCGAAGTTTTGTGCTACACATAAAACAGATATTTTTAGTAAAAAAAATCTATCTATGGTTCTAGAATGCTTAGTCAATTATTACATATGTATTACCTCTTTTGTTATACGGCACTTGACGAGAATTGGCTACGCCTACTGGAATAATTAATTTAAAAGCGGCTATAATCAATTTGAGACACTTCACAGAAAATCATAAACCATTTTACAGATTGAAAAGAGGATTAACGGCAGCACAAGTTTTCAAACAAATCATCATGATATCGGAATCTCGAAATCATAAACTAGTACCGAATCTCCATACTGCCCGAACTAGTAACGTTACAGATAGGGCGGACGGAAATTAAACTGACCAATGGGTTGTTTATGGGCGGAAAATGGGGAGGGAGGAAGTGGTATGGTTGACATAAGAGAAAATATTCGCATAGCTTATTAAAAGCTTCGCAAAATGTAGTGAGTAGAAAGAGTTTGAGCATATTTACCTATATCAACAAAACCTGGACTGGATTTTTGTTTTGCAGTTTTATTTTGTAGGAATTCATTAGGAAACCACGCTGAATGTATTTAAGAAACCACAATGCTCTGAACTTGGATGGTGGGTTATCTGTGACCCATTCTCCTATTAAATTTCATCCACAGGGAAGGCGCTATGCCACATCAGGCACATTATTAGGATTCGACCGACTTCGAACTTCGAATAAAGTGTCATGAATTTATTAAACGCTTTGTAGTAATTAATTATTCATCATGCAATAAAATTATATACCTATACGTGACTATTATCGAGATACTTTAATACATAACCGAGGGGCGTTAAATTATTTTTGCGATAAAATAGTAACTTAAATTCAAGTATCAGAATTTAATTATAAATTGGGAGAGAAAAATACTGAGTGGATATGAAACTAGATTTGTTCGATACTTACAAATTGGAGAGATGGCAGAAAAAGCAAGTAGAAGCTGACCATCAAGCTGCTATGAGGATCAGGCGTAGAATCTGGCATAAGTAAAGCATCAGGTTGTTTTTAACCCTTATAATGAAAGCCTTTATCTGAAAGTCCTGAATAAGCACAGTAGGTAGGTAATTAAATATCTAAATCTAAGCAAAATGACGGAGTAAATATTCAATATAGCAAAATTCTATAAAAGAACTATTTTTTTTTAAAGAAAACATTTGTTAATTTGATTTTTAATTAAAGATTAGCTTAAGACTCCAGTATAGCAGGCCGGTGTACACACAGTACCCTCGGACCATGTAGTCGAAGCCGCAAGTTATAGCTACATATAATAGCTTAGTTTCTTAGGCGGTCTAATCACATTATACAAAACACTCAGTTTCTAAAACCAGTTTAGTTACTGTGTCTTGTTTTACCAAAAACTGGTTTGGACAGATGCAAAAAGAATTTGAAATGTAGATCACAATACTACAACCGGTTCCTCAAAAGGTCCCAAATGGTGTTTGTGATATTACCGCCATCTGTTGACTACTGGTGGTACCACCACGGTTAAAAATAGAGTTCGATTGAGACGGTGTGCGTTAGGTGGCATTAGCAGGCTATTATATGTATCTACACCAATATTTTGCATTTGCATCAAGTATGAAACTACTGTATCTATTTTAGAATTTTTGAACCTACATGCGAGTGATTTAGGCTATATTTTTCGCGGACAAATTCCTGGGAAAACAGCTAGTATTGGATGTAGTCGAAAATATGAAGTGTAAAATATGTGTAAAGTATGTGTAAAATATGTTTTTATTAATATGAAGTGTAAAATAATTTCATTTAATAAAACAAAACGACCAACTTCTCATTATAATATTTAATGGATTCCGTGATATATCAGAATCTGCTTAACTACACCATGTATTAAAACAATAATACAAAGGTACCTTAGCTTATTCCCTTGGACATTGTCTACCAGTCAAGTTATATTTCAATTAAAAAATACACGTGTCACAACCAGTTCATGCGAAATCTCTATTTTAATTATGTATTGCCAATAACCATGTTGATTTTGTACGCTGGTTTCACTGTGTCACCATTTCTGGGGTCCCGTCTTCGATACCCGATCGTGTCAATGTAGAAAATGATGTTTTCTGTATTGTCTCGGATTTGTTATTGTGATAATCTTATTTTAGATATTCCATAATGTAAGTTAAAATTTCAAAAATACTCACATAACACGTTTTATCAAATAAGTACCTATTAAATTTTGTTCTCTTTACTTAGCATAAATATACTTTTCTCAGATCTTATTTTAAGACAATCAATGCTTATAATAACGGAACTACAATCCAGATTTGAAAAATAACTATAGAATATTATCAATAACGGGAAATCGAACCTGCGCCCTTTCACGAATTCAAGTGCGTGCCAACTGCTGGCATAGTCGGTTCCGTTATACTAACTGAATGCAACACGTCTACTATAATACTTCAGTTTATATTGAAAACTTATTCAATTAAATATGTTTTTTTTTCTTAAATAATTTTAAAGTAAACTTGTCGGTTATTTGTACATATAAAAGGTATCTATAGTCTAAGTATAAATTCAATTTCAATTTATTTATTAGCCATATTTAACAATATTATTATACAAGGTATATCAGTTCACAATTCATAGTATTTATTTATTTATACATATTTTCAATTTAATCTAAATTAAAAAAAAATTACAGTATCTTATTTCATCATATCATAAAAAAAGATTCGCTTATACGCATCGTCAAAAATTCATTTAAGGAATAGAAAGGATTTTGCTCAAAAAAAGATTTCAGAATACTACAGAGCTATTGTGGTTTCTATTTGTAATACTTAAAGGTAATTTGTTATACATTATTATTTTTAGATAAATACCATGTTTTTGAGCTTTTTTTAGTTTTACCTTTGGATGACGTAACATTTCTTTATTACGTAGATTATATTTTATCTGACTAACGGTCAGTTGCACAAATGTCCATTAAGGTTTAATGACGCTTTTAAACTCTAATGAATGTCAAACTTGTATGGGTAATGTCGCTTTAAACTAATGAAAAATATAATGGACGTTTGTGCAACTGGCTGAATGATTACCGCATTCAGTCTGTAATGCTAAAGTTAACAACTTTCGCAAGGAGCGATCATAGGATGAGTGCTGTTGGTTTCGGCTGCATCTCCAGTCATTAACTGTGTCTACACGCCATGACCCAATAGTCATGGCCTACTCTCCTTATCCGTTTCCATTCCATCCACAGAGAAGGCCTGAGCCCCAACAGTGGGGACATTAAATAGGCTAGGTGATATACTTATGTATATTATAGCTTTTATCTATCTATCTATTACACAACATGTCTTACGGTTAACATTCATTAGTATTTTCATTCTCGCTCACTAGTTCTTATGGTTTCTGACATCACTCTCCAATGGCATTCGATCTATTTCATCTCATGTCATGAAGATATGGTCTTGCGTCCCCTGCTACTAAATCTCACCATTTTTGTTTAGATGTCAGTTTCTGTTATAGATCTAAGTGTATACCTATAAAGATTTATAAAGGCGTCAACTCAACTATGCAAGACTACATTGTATTTTTTTTTCTATATTGAGATTGCTAATCTGTTAACTTTTAAATAAATAAACACAGACAAATAACCTTAGATAGATTTTGTTTTATGTATGACTAGTGACCGCCAGCGACTTTATCCGCGTTTTCCATTATATCTTCGCTCCTAATAGTTGCAGCGTGATGTTATATAGCCTAAAGCCTTCCTCGATAAATGGTCTATTCAATACAAAAATATTTTTTCAATTCGAACCAGTAGTTCCTGAGATTAGCGCGTTCAAACAAACAAACAAACTCTTCAGCTTTATAATATTAGTATAGATTCTTTGATCGTGAGTATGTAACTATGCGTTTGCCAAGTATTCTTAAATATATGACAAGGATGGATAGCTACAGAGAGACATTTACTGATTTAATCAAATTAATTTACTTTGATTTCATAACTTTTTACTGCTGAAGAGTTGCTTTGCGAAACTTGTAATTTTTGTACATGTTATGTTTTTGATGTAATCTAATGATTATCATTCGACTCCATAAATTTAAAAATTAAATACGACAAAAAAGGTCTTCGCGTTATGCTTGTCATTGATTTCGTAAATCTTTAATAAGTAAATCTAAGGTCTTTAATCTAATTGAAAATAAAAAAGTATAATTTGGTAAAAAGTGATATATCCTGTTGTGACTTTGCCTTTATTCATATTTATATCTATTCCTATATGTAATGTATAAAAATATTACAATAATATTCTTTAATCTTAAACTTTTACAAATATTTTTTTTTGTCTAATATGTGCGACGTTTACCACCAAAATTGTTAATTTTTCTATTATCCTTAAACAA